TGCTTCAGGTCCGCCTTCAGCTGGGCCAGCTGCTCCTCGGAGGACGTGATGTCGGAAGCCAACTGTGGAGACTTCGTGTTGGCGGACTGGATGCTGGTCTCCAGGTCCCCCTTCCCAGTGCGGCAATAACAAACGAACTTCTTGTCCGCCGCCGCTTCCTCGGCACTTTCCGGAGCGTTGGAATGCCTGTTAGCTGTTGGGTAAGTCTTGTAGGCATTCGGAGACTTCCAGGGGGTGACCCCCCTCGCCGTCGACGCGAGCCCGACGCGTCTCTATTCAAACATCCCCCCAACGTTGCTATCAGACGCTCGTCTTGACCTCAGGCCGGGTTGCAAGATGTCCCAAGTGCAATTCATGACATTTCAACTATCTCCCAGAAGCCTCTATATGCCCCCGAGCAACCGCAAGAGACTCCCCGGAGTCCCCAATAAGCGCTCAAGAGATCCCCCAGCAAAGCACTGGGAGGGAAACTATATTGAAACATATGTTGTCGACCCTCAAGAATACTTCAGAGGCCCTACCGGCTCCAGAGGGACCCAGAAGCCTCTATGGCGGCTCTAAGCAGGTCCCTAGACTGCACAAGACCGACCGAAGATGGCTCTACTCACGATAAGGCCAGACAGAACCCCAGATTGTTCTACCAAGCCTTTTTCACGATAGCTCGGTCGCACCAAAGACGGCCCCAAGACTCACAACAGGCCCACCAAGCGCCCCAAAACGCCCGATAAAAACGTTACGCAACACGACAATAGTGCAACGAAACGGCTGCGCCACTCCACATCGTCGAAACGATGCTGCCCAACCTGCTCCAACATGGCTATACCAAGCCTGCTCGGGAGGGATCGGTAGTGGCGGGGCTTGCCGCAGGCAGCAAGATACAGCGCCTCCTCTTCTTCGCCTTCCTTGGTAACCTTTTTCTGCATTGCCTGTAGCAAATTGATCACTTTGCGGACTGGATTTGCGGACGCCTGCTCCGAAGCATGCTGAACCACCGCCTGCGCGGCAGCCAGCATAATCACCAAGACGGGGGCGGCGAGCTTCTTGAACATCGCCGGAGCTGCACTGAGTCTGATGGCGGGCGTGGTTCAGAAGATTTGAGTCGATAATCTTGAGCCAGCATGTGTGCGGCCCAACATGTCCCTCGTCGTGGCTCACGGCTCTGATCGGACTGCCTGGCTCGCACCCCTCGCCCTCATCACCTCCCGCCACACGGCACATCACGGCCCACGCGCGCTGGAGGCTTCTGCACTCCTTGCGACACCTGGCTTTCCACTGTGGGCGATTTGCCGCCTTTTGCAGCTTCGGGCTGTGATCTGGTCGCGGCCAGCGTTCTTTCTGCCTTCTCGCTCCCCCCCTTTTTTTTTCTCTCTCTCTTTCTCTCTCTCTCTCTCTCTCTCCCTCTGTATATGTCGCTCCGCTCCTCTCTTCTCGTTCTACCTACCGCACTAAGGCTTATTGAGATTTGATGTCTTCCTATCGCTGTGCTCCTCCCTTCTGGGTTGCTCCTCCCTTCTGGGTTGCTCCTCCCTTCTGGGTTGCTCCTCCCCTCCCTGAATGCTGTTGTGTTCCGCCCTTCTGGATTGCTGATGTGGAAATATGGCATCGGACGCTGTATGGGCCGCAGGGGACCGTCACACAGCGCCCTCGCCCCTTCTCCTCCTCCTCCTCCTCCTCCTCCTCCTCCTCCTCCTCCCCCCCTTCCCCCGCCGAAGCTGATCCGCGGCCAGCAAGGGGGGGGGGCGGGGAGGCGGGGGAGGGGAGGGACACGGGACAAGGGGCAGCGGAAGGGGGGGGGGACGGCCGTGGGGCGAATAGAGCAGCCCCCCCCCCCTCTGAGGTCCGCGCGAGGGGCGCGAATCGCCGCCTGCGTGGCGCTGGGTATCGGGGCGTCGCTCTCTGGCGCGCTGCTCGCGGCAGAGAGGGGGGTTCAGCGCCGATCCTAGAATCCTGCGGGACCTCCGAGGAGGAGGTTTATGAGGAGGAGGAGTCCCCCTAGGAATCAGAGGAGGAGGCTTAATTTCCCGGCGCCTCCCGGAGGAGGAGGAGGCCCACGTATCGAGGAATGGGCCCGGCGGCGGGGCCGACAGGAGCTGCATGCAGCAGATGTCGTACGCCCCCCTTTCCCTAGGAGGAAGAGGAGGAGGAGGAGCAAAACGCTTGGGCGTGCTGGGCCAGCGGCGGGCGAGCGCAGCGGGCCGCGGGCGAGCGCGACGGAGAGAAGGGGCGCGTCAGGGCCCCCGCGTTCCGCGGACGGACGGCGGTGGAGGCCTCGACGAACGCGCGTCGGAGCCCTCGTGGTGCGCGGGGTCATCCGTGGCCTGCTCCCAGAGGGTGGCGATGGGACATCCGGCCATGATGGAGGGCAGCGGCAGGCGCAGCAGGGGGGACACTCCGACAGATCAGATCGCAAGACAATTCGCAGCGTGGAGACCTCCTCGCAGCCCTGGCGGCGAGCGTAGGTAGACGGGGCGCGGCACGTTGAACGCTGCGAAAAAGAATTACTTTGTACCACGTCCACCGGTTTGTCCCCGTCTACGGCCTCGTGGCGGTCGTTGACCTCCTCTTCATTTCCCGTTCCCTCTACTTGCTCGTGCCTCTTCCCCTGCGCGCATCCCTCTGGTGGTGCCGAGGGCCTCTGGAACCCATAGAGCTTCAACAATTAGCTGCACCATGCAATGTACCCTGTGCCGCCGGTGCTTCGACGTTCGGCTCGGGGCGATGTGCGCCATCTCTGGATGCACCTCAGCCGATCTGGATCTACATCGGCGAAAGCAGATTTACCTCGACCGTTTGTGCATGAGTATATTTGGCATGTTTCACATCGGCTCCAGGTGTCTCCAAAGTTCGCAGAGATAGCTTCGAAGTATCTCCCAAGAAACTCCTAGAAGGCGCAAGAGGTCCCCAAGATGGCCACATGATGGCTGCAGAGGCACCAATCTGACGTCCAAAGCAGCCCCAGGATGACCCAGGACCGCTAGCTAAAGACGGCCCAAAAATCCCTCCAGGCTGCCCTGATGTGCTCTCCCAAAACAGCCTTCGTATCCTGCAGGGGGACAACACAATTGCCCCGAACCCGGAGACGGCCCAACAGTATTTGAGTATGGGTGGGCAGAGCACAACTGAGCCTGCGTGATTGGTTGGTATGGGTGAGTTCGAACGACTCTGGGCCAGTCTGGGTATCAGCGGAGTGAAGTATGAGCGACTGGGTATGAGTGAGACTGACCCATGATAGGTTCTGCCTATTAAATAAGTTTTGTGGAGTCCAGGGATGACTGCTTCTGACGACTATGAACACATCTGAATGCGAGCGCCTGGGTATGCGTAACTGAATGGGAGAGAGTTGGAGTATGATTGGCTGGGTGGGCGTGTCTGGGTACAACTGACTGCAGACGAATATGAGTATGGTCGAGAATGACTGCGAGCATGGTGGGTTAGGGGTTACTCCGAAGATATTCGCATGAACGCGAATTAGCGCGATCATGAATCTGAGCAAGCATGTTTTAAATTCAACTGACCCTTCGGCGTGTGTGAGAGGCGATGATGATGCTGATGATAATGGTGGTGATGGGGAGGAGGGACATGATGAGGAGAAGCTGGAGGAGAAGGGATGACGATGCTGATGGTGATGATGATGAGTAGGTATATGAGGATGACGCATGATGATGCGCATGATGATGGTAAAGAGGATGGGGATGCTGATGACGCATGGTGATAATGATGAGGATGGAGGGGAGGGATGGTGATGACGATGATGTTGATGATGACGATGATGTGGGGAAGTATGATGAGGGATGATGATGGCGATGATAATGGAGATGATGATGATGATGATGATGATTATGATGATGATGATGATGGTGATGATGATGATGATAATGATGATGCTGATGACGACGATGATGATGAGCAGGAGGGACGATGATGAGGATTTGGAGGAGGGGGAGGGATGACGATGATGATTGTGATGATGATGATGAGGATGAGGACAACGACGAGGAAGTCCAGGGGCAGGAAGAGGAAAGGGGAAAAGGGGGCACACGACGTTGCTGTATGCGTAAAGTCCGGCGGAGGTGTAGGACAATGAGCGACCGTACGAGCATGACCTAAGTATCTAAATTTCATAGGGGAAACTACATGACTTGGAATACGGCCACTATACTGTTCGGCCTGGTATCATCGAATGCGCGCGCTACAACCGTCGGGGTCGCGCAAGCATGGATTCGCGATCCATGGATTTGGCGCGCGGTCGCCAAATCCATAGATCGGATCGGGGGAGGTGCCCTCCCCAACATGCGGCAGGTGCTGCCTCGTTCGGCGGCGGAAATCGGCGATTTCCCACGGAAGCGGGACCCGTCGCTAATCCACGCCCCCTTGATCCGTGTTTGCGATCGCCTGAAACCGTGCACGCGAGAGCAAGCTCACGCCATGAGATGCCGCGCGGCGAAGAAAACACATCCGCGCGAGAAAACAACGCACGCCACAGATTCTTCCCCCGCGTGGCCCGGGCGGGTCCCGGGGCGGGCGGGCCGCCAGCGGGGGTCCTGGGGGAGGTCCCGCCGTCAGGGTCGGCGGCACCGGCCGCAAAGCATTCGCACTCTGCCCCACTGTGGGCATGCCGGGGTGTGACCAAACCGGGTCAAAGTGAGTCTGAGTGCAAGTGGGCCTCGGATCCTCCTCTTCCTCCTCGACCTCCTGCGCATCATTTCTCCCCTCCCCCACCTCGTCCTCCTGCTCCTCCTCCTCCTCCTCATCACTGGTCACTGCCGCAGATGCTCCACGTGAGAAGTCCCATCGAATCTCGCAACAGACGGGACCGTGAAACACCTCCAGTCGACCCCCATCTGGGATGACCACAGCGCGATGCTGGCTGGCACGCGGTGGATCAGGAGGCAACTCCTAGGAGGCCTTCGTAAGAACGATAAGAAGCTATTGAGCCCGACCATGGGGGCCCTTGAGTTGGATCAGTCTGCATAGGGGAGGTCAAGCTAGATCAGGCTGGGCCGCGCATGTACCAGCTCAGATGCTGATCATAACCTCCCAGGCATCACAACATGTGGACAGCGATGTGACAAACAGGCGACGAGGGGTGCCCCGCCTGCATCAGCGGTGTCAGCGGCCGCCCCGGCGGCCCAATCGCGCCGCCGTGCGCCTCTATGTTCGGAACCTGGAACTGGAAGGGCCCACTGCGCGGCGCGGCGCGGCGATAGGGGGGGGGACGGGGGAGGGAAGATGGCGGAGGGCGGGGCGAGAAATGGGGAGGGGGCCGAGGACGGCCCAAGGGCTCTCCAAGGCGGCCCGAGAGGCCCCCAAGAAGGCCCCAAGAGGGGGACAGGGAGTTGACCTTGACGTCCCTTTCCTACGTGATTGCCTCTCAGAACCCCAGCATGGCCCCCCAGCGGGAGGAGGGGACGGCGTAGCGAGGGATGGGCGGTTCATTTCGCTTACGCGTCAGGGCGTGAAGCGCAACTCGGCACCAGCCCGAGATGGGCAACCAACTGCTGACCCAACGCTGCACAAAACGTTGCCGCTGTCACCCTTGCCGGGCTCTGCCTGGTTCCGCCCAAGAAAAGAGGACTGAGGGAGGGAGAGCGGGGGAAGGGAGGGAGAGAGGAAGAGGGAGGGAGGAGTAAGGACGGAGAGAGGGAAAATGAGGGCTGGAGGAAGAGGGGAGGGTGAGGGAGGTAGGCAGAGAGGGGACCTCGGGGGGGAGAGGGGCGGGCGAGACGGGGAGCATGGCCTGGAGGAGAAAGGGACGATGAAGGAAGGGGGACGACGAAAAACGCAGAGCGAAGTGGGAACAAGGAAATGCGAGACCGCCACCACCAGCGCGAAGCTCAGGGAGGGTCCTCCTGGAGGTGTGCCCCCCCCCCCCCCCCCCCCTCTCGCTCGAGACATGCCCCATCCCCAGGTCGACAAGACTTCGTGAACTTCCTTTCTGAAGGCCCCCCTGGAGGTGGTGGTGTCCCCTCTCCTTCCTCCGAAGAAAGAGAAGGGAGGGGGAGAAGGATCTCGAAAACCGTTCGTCAACATGTAGAACTGTGCCAAACTTGTGAAAGCATTCCTCTTCCGCCCCTTTTCCGACCACTCCTCCCTCCTCCCATTCTCTCTTTGTCCCGATGCTTGTCCCAGCATCTCCGCCTCTCCCCTCCCTCTCCCTCCTCCTCCCCCCTACCATCCCCCATCCCTGGCAGAACCGGCCGTAAGGCCTCTCCAATAGTGTTAGGTCGGGCATGTCCTCCTGCAGGCGGATTTTTGAAGAAAGCAATAGTCAAATCAACTCAAACATATTCAAAAGAGCACGACGCATCGTCCCCGTAATAGTTTTACTATTAATGAATGTTTCACCTGTGGAAGGGTATCCCCGACTCAACAGTAGTGCGATGGTGAAAACAAGCACGTCGCGATTCATTCGCGACCCCGGGTGGTCTGCCCGACCCCCCCTCCGCCCAAAGGGAGGTCGGCAGGGGGTGGGGCAGGGGGGATGAAGTGACCAGGAATGTGCGAGACATCACCGACAGATCAACAACAGGGCCCCCGATAGCGAGACCGCATGCTCCTCGGCATGGTGGAGGGCCCAAGCCCCGACGGGCGACGCATGGGCGCTTGGGGGCCGATGCGCTCCCCCTTTGCGCCCATCCTGGCGCTGTCCCCGACCTCTCCGACCTGTTTTCGGGCCACGTCTCGGGCCTGAGGCGGCCGCTGTGGACGCTCCTGGCACCCCTGGAGCGCTCTCGGCGAGGCGCGGCTGCCGATGCACGGCGGTCGGAAGAAGTAGGTACGTACAAACATGAAGTAGGAAGGCGGATAAAGTGGATTGGGTCCAGGCCCTCCCAGAGAATCACAAAACGCAGCAAAATCATGTTGACTCCTGCAGCAGGAAGTCGCTTGAAGTCGATTGGGATCTGGGAGCCCGAAAATACCTGCCTTCAACCATCGGCGGGTAATCCCCCCCCGGTCCCGAATGCCTGTGGCGGCCTCGGGGAGCCGCCGACACGGCCCACGCCCCTCTGAGCCCATGCCCCCCCCAAAAACGCTGCCCCTCCGCTTGGGGAGCGCCTGGGCGCGCCTGGGAGCGCCTGGGAACGCCTGGGAAGCGCCTGGGGACGCCTGGGGAGCGCCTGGGAGCGCCTGGGAGCGCCTGGGAGCGCCTGGGCGCGCCTGGGAGCGCCTGGGAGCGGCAGGGAGTGCCTGGGAACGCTTGGGGGGCGCTTATAGGAGACTTGGGACTTCCTCGTGCTGGACCCTACCCCTGGGCCGGCGGGCTTCTTCGTGGATCGGCGCTGGACGCCCCTCCCTTGGCGCGCGGGGCGCGTCAGGTGCGGCGCCGGAGGCGCCGCCAAGGGGCTCCAGCGCCGATCGAAGGAGTCCGCGAGGACCAACGAAGATGCACGTTTTCGTCGTTCTTCCCAAACGTGCGACGTCTTGTTTTTCAATAACTGCGGGGTTCCTGGCAGTCCCGACCTTGCCCCCAGACGGGCTCTTCGTCCTGACCCATTCCCTACCTAGGCTCTGCCTAGAAAGATTCTTACCCTGTGGACTTAAAGGGCCGGGCAGTGCTCCCCGCCCCGGGCGGTTCCCCCGGCATCCGCCCCGCGGTTCCCCCAGTTACGCCCCTCTGGGTTCACCCAGCTTAACTTAGCTAAGCTTAGCTAAGCTTAGCTTATCTCATCTCCGCTTAGCTTAGCTTAGCTTAGCTTAGCTTAGCTTAGCTGAGCATATGAAATTAGCTTAGCTTACCTTACCTTAGCTTAGCTTTGCCTAGCCCAGCGTAGCCTAGCTTAGCTTAGCTTAGCTGAAATCATCTTAGCTTATCTTAGCTTGACTTAGCCTAGCTTGGCGTAGCTTGGCTTAACTTAACTTAACTTAGCATAGCGTCGCTTGACTAACATTAGCGCAGCATTCGCACAGCCTATCATAGCGTATCATAGCCAAACATAGCATACCATAGCATAGCTCTGTATAGCATATCATAGCCCTGCATAGCTCATCATAGCATCGCATAGTTGCAGATGTATGTGTAGATGTAGATGTAGGTGTAGATGTAGATGTGAGTCTCGCTGTTGATGTTTATGTAGGTGTAGATGCAGTGTAGATGTAAATGTAGCTGTCGGTGCAGATGTAGATGTTGCTTTTCTAAATGCTCAAACTCCTAACTAGGTAGGGTCGCACTGGGATAATGTTGTTTTCAAGTCCTGGACCGGGGAAGGCCCACGGAGTCCGAAAACGGCGAACACACATCCCGCCCTGATTTTTGTCACGCCGCGAGCATGTCTGGATCGGTTCCTTCATGGTCCCTCGGGCTCAACACATTCCCGGCCGGGATGGCAAAGGCCCTGTCACGAAGCCCGGCTGGCCGCTTCGCTTCAAGCTCCCAAATCCGGGTCCGCGGAGGGCGGGAAAGGGAAACTGGCAACACGTGGCTCCCGAATCCGGGTCAGCCAAAGAGAAGTGGCTGACCCCCCTTGCGTGAACGACGAAAGAAAACGAGCCTTACGCAAAATGACAGAGCGACCTCACGCCGCGGCTTGCGGGGGCCGCCAGCGCGGCACGGTACATCAGCAGAGAGCGCACTTACGCGCGACCTCACGCGGGCAGCTTGCACGCCAGTGCCAGCGCAGATGGCCCCGCCTTGCTGCGCCGCTCGAATGGCTGACCCCCGTGACGTGAGCCCCGATCTCTCGCCCGCGGCGCGGGCTCGGCCGGCCTGTCCAGGAGCGGCGGTGGGCCGCCCGCCACCTGGACGGCCGCCGCGGGAACGCCCGCCACGGACGCGGCTCCGCTGGCCACCGCCGGGGCGGCGGCCCCGGCGTCCTGTGCCGGGGCCAGGGGGTGACTGCTGCCCGGGCCGAAGCCGGCGTCCGCCGCCTGGCTGGCGCGGCGAAGGAGGGAGAGGAGGGGGCAGGAGGAGGAGGCAGGAGGAGGCGGCAGGAGGAGGCAGGAAGAGGCGGCAGGATGAGGCAGCGAGGAGGCAGGAGGCAGAAGGAGGAGGAGGAGGAGGAGGAAGTAATGAGCAATGCGCGGGGGATCCAAATAAATTACTCGAGCGTCATACCATAAAACTAGCAACGGACTCTGCGCGACCCGACTTCGAGGGTGAGCGGGTCAACCTTACAAGGACAGGGGGACCCCCCTCTGGCTGGGGCCAGAGCTGCCCCCGAACAACGGCGAGCCTCGAGCGCCACGCCGGCGCGTGAGAGGAGCCGTCTGGGGGACCGACTATAACTGGACCTGCCGCGTTTTGCTCTCTGTCCCGCCCCCTTGCGTGGAGCCTGTTTCGCCGCCGCAGCTATGGGGATCGGGGGAAGATCACGATTAGAAAAAATACCAAAGCTCGTGGCCTGAAACAAATCTGGGATGGTCCCTCGGGCCACTAAAGACGCTAAACGTTCACTACCTACCCTACAGAAGCACCCATGCTCAGGTTGTTTCTGGCCCGCACTCCTTCTCGCGAGCGCGAGCGGCTTCTCTCTCCGGGTATTCCGACACGCTGGCACAGTCGCTCTTGTCCATGTCGATCAGGGCGAGGAGGCGCGCCGCCTCCCTCTCCAAGGGCCAGCGCGGGGCTGGCCCCTTGAGCTGCGCCGCTTTGGAGACCTCAACGTTGTTCAGGAACTGAATCATCAGCGACCTCGCCTCGCGACCTGGCTCGTCGTGCGAAAAACCAAACGTCACCCTGCCCTTCTTCGCCATGTCGTCGTCCTCCTGGCGGGCCTTATTGCTCGTGTGCTTGTGCTCGCGATGCCTGAAGTGCAGCGCGTGCTTGGCCACCTGCTGCGGGGTCTTCGCATTGGCGTGATGCGGGGAGTACAGACGGAACACCTTCTTCTCGCTTTCCTTGCACCCGTCGCTGCCATCGAGAAACGCGTCCACGCAGGGAACGAGGTGGAGAGACGCCGCGGCCCACAGCTGCACGTGTGGTGGCCCTATTGCGCGGAAGTCGATCTTCTCGCCGTTCATCTGGCGCTCCTTGAAGTTTTTTGAGACGGCGTCGCACTTTGCGCTTGACTCGATCATGATCCGGGTGGCACCCTTGTCCTCTTCCTCGACCTCCCGCGCCTGAAACGCCGCGCCCGCTAGGTTCGCCAGCTCGCGGGCGTCGTTGAGTCACAACTTGGCCACCGCCTTGACCGGCGCTTCGTACGCGTCTCCCTTCTTTGCCTTGCGCTGCCCTTCCATCTTCGAGCCCTCTGGTGGCGGTGCCGATTCTGGGGCCCCATCTGCTCCACGCTTCGCAGGGGCCGACAACAGCTTGCGTCCAGGAAGCCGCCTGCACCATCTGTCCCGTCGCAGACGCCGACGCCCCCGCCGACGCCCCAGCTGGTGGCGCTGGGCAGCCGCATCCGTTGCCGCGGAAGAACTGGGCCAGGCAAATGGCTGCGTGACTGATGGCATGCATCGTCTGGTACAACAGCCTCGAACTCGCGTGAGGGCACGCCGACGTCGATGGAGGCTCCAGAGGTCGTAGCGCCCCACCCCCACCAGATCGACAATGCCCCCGTAGTACAGCTAATGCTAGATGCCTGGCTGCACATGCCTCGCCCCAGAACGCTTCCCGGCAACATGCACAGATAGTTACTGGAGTCAAGATATGACAGAATGATCGGTAATCACGCCGTGAACGCAAATGGGCCATGGGCCCCTTTTTGGAGGTAAAACTGTCCCCACATTCTTGAACTTGACAGACAAACTCAAACTCCTCGGGGTCCGCGATACCTTCGGGGCCAGCATCTGGGGCCAGCTCGGCGCGCTCAGGGGGCGCCACTTGAGGACCAATTAAGCGAGAACGTATCTCAGTAAAATCGATCAGATCGAGCTCCCCCGTAACCCGTAACCCCGGGGCCCCGCGCGCGGCCAGGGCGGGCGGCGAAAGAACCCGAAATATCCCCATGATCACGCAGGAGTCCCTGCGCTCACTCGAAATCTTCAGCGACGCGACGAGCCCGCGGGGAAGCCTTTGAAGTAAGAGCCCCCTCCACCACGAGCGCCGTCTGCGACTCGAAGGGTGCGCGCCAAACCGACGAGGGCAGAGAGCAGCTGCGGCTGGCTGGAGGGGGAGCGGGCCCAGGCCCTGTGCAAATTCAACCGCCGAATGCCGAGCCCAACGCACGTTTCACATTTGCGCCAGGGCTGAAGAACACCTTTTGACGTCAACGTGCGAGTCGCTCCTGCCTCCATCTTCCAGCTGGCACGCCCGCGCGTGGCCGCGCGAGCATAATGCGCCACTGTGGCGCCCAAGCTAGCACATTGCTTCTTCGTGCGCAAAAGCGCCTCCAATCCACAAAGAGCTGAATTCTGAACCGACGACATAACAAATGAACGCGCGAGCTTCCATGGGGGACTGAGAGATCAGCAGCCGGCCATGGATGGGGAAGACAGCGCGCGCGACTTGATGCGGACGGGTTACCTCCTGACTTGACGGGCCCCTGGGACATGGAAACATGAGGTCCAAGGTGCCGATCGTCTTCTCTTACAGCTCCCGAGAGGCGGGCCTGTCCAAGCCCCCGAAGCCATCTTTTACACATCATGACCCCCTCCCCCTCGATCCAGACGGCGAACTCCGGTTCCCCCCGATGTTGCTCGCACCCTCACCACTGGGGGGAGGGGGTCGAGGATATCGCCGGAGTGCTTCACCTTGGCCAAGAAGGACCCCATAGCGCCCCCAGGAGGCATGAGAGCGCAACGGCACAAATCGTCCGCGTACTTGAACAGGCCGAGGTCGACCTCTTGGCCGTCCCATTCAGCGCGCAGGGGGGCGAAGGCGGGATCCACCTCTCAGAGCATGCGTCCACCTCGCCACTGGACGACATCACTTCGTCCAGAATGCAGCCGCCATGAACGGGTCCCCCATCGCTCCTCCCACTCCCGCCTTTACCGCTAGCTATCCCTCATCAACTGGTCGTAAAACGACCGCGTCCCGGTGCTATGTTTACACGAGACAGCATGTTCAGTCTGGACTAGCGTAGACATAGTTGTGTCCAAAGCGCCCCGACTCGCACTACCGCAGAAGTTGCTCGTATCTCTCAGGCTGGCCCCGAAACTTGACCCAGCCTTCCGTAGGATCCACCCCGCCACCTGGGAAGCCAAAGTGGCCCCCTCCCTTCTCCGATGCCCCTGAAAACCATAATCCTCCGGGGCAAGCTCGTTGAGCAACAAATCCGCGAAACAACAGCATTGCCAGCGGCTGGCAGCACATGGACCACGCGCTTTCCCCTTGGCCCAGGTTGAACCGAATTGTGCCAAGCAGTTCCCCGAGACGCATTCCAGTGCGGCGGCGCTAGATCTGCAATCCGAATCTTCTTCATCCCCGTCCAGGTGGGTCTGCAGTAACAGGGCGGGCTCCTCGGGGGCCCTAGGTGCTCCCAGACTTGGGCGCGGATGATGCATTCCTCGCGCAGGACGTAGCAACTGCCACCAGAGCTTAGGGGGGCCGTGTCGTCAGGGACTGTTCGGCGCTTCGTGCCTCGGCGAACATAGCGGCGCGGTTGGCCGATGTCAGAATGCTTTAGCTGTTCGGGTCGATCATCATATCGAGCGATATTATACATCTGGCTCGCGTCGAAATGTTTTCGCCGTGTTCGCCATTCGCCTAGGTCGAGCTGCTGAACTTCCATCCCGCCGCCCCCGCCAAGCCGCGACCAGACGTCGACCCCCGCTGAACTGGTGATGGGAGCTGCCCCGGATCTTCTATCATCCCGTTTTTTTCTTCATGAGAACATGCACCTAGCTGCTCTCCGAGCCCATCCCACACATGTTGCGCCTGGCCCACGCCTCGCGTGACGCCTGGACGTAAGACTCACGAACGGCCCGACGATGCTGCCAACGAAAGAGGCGCAGCTTATGGGAGAGGTCCTCCAGCCATTGCTCGACTACCTCCAAGTCGGCGGCGTTCACCGGAGTGGCACGTGCACCAATTCGTGTTTTTTGGTGAGAAGGTCGCGCCGAAGTTGAGCCCAGTGTTCATATTCGTCTGGGAGGCCCGACGGCGCGGCGGAAAACTCGCTACCCAACTCGACCAAGCACTGCTCCAAAAGCTCGACAGTGTGGTCAGGCGCGGCCTGGTCGTGCCTGGAGCCGTTCGTCGAAGTGGTTCGCCAACGACTTGTCAACGCCCTCCACGAAGTCCAGGCGACGGTCACCCCTCTTGATTGCCCCGGGCAGGGCCGTCATGACCCACTTGGGCGGCGCCTGGACCGCATCACAGTCCGGGGGTCCTCACGGGTGGAGGAACTCCACGTATACAGGTACATGGTCTCGTGGAGGTCGTCCTCGTTGAGCCTGGAGCTGGGCACCGATACGCCGTAGCGTGTGACAGCGCGTGACATACGACGCCCAACCCTGAATAATGAATGAAGTCGATCAAACTACTTGGTCCCTCTGGGCCCTTACCATAGAAGATGGCTTCGTATTTGCCGGAGGTGTTGGCGGCCAAGAGGTGACGCACAGAGAGAAGGTCCGCCGTTATCCCACCCGCAAATATATGCCTGCGCTCCCGCGTGCGCACACTTCCCACAACCTCGCTCTGGTAGTCCTGCCAGCTCGAGTCGATCTTCCTGCAGCCGATGCCGTCGTTGACGTCCGCGTGGCAGATCAGTACGCACCGAAGTGGCATCAGAGACAGACGCTCGCGCCACCATGTGATCATCTTGGCGACCGTCTGAAAGTACATCGGGCCAGCCCCTCGGCTGCGGGGTTGAGGGGGGACGTATAGCACGCTTAGGCACCCGTCGAGGACGCCCTGGCGGACTCGAGCGGCCTGACATCGGCCTCCCAGGTCACGTGGGCTCGGGAAAACCGTCCGAACATGATGGACGCGGGAGCCACGCTCAAGAATAATAGCCACTCGCGCACTCGAATTGGTATATTGT